GGCCTGGTGTGGAGCTGGGGTCCCTCACTTCTGAGGAATCCCTCCCTATTTTTATCCACCTCACATGGGTGTGGGACCCCCCATTCTGCATTGCCCATCTCCACATCTCTGCCCCTCCTGCCCATCTGGTTGAATGTCACTTCTTTAATTCCTTGGTTGTTGGACTTCCACACAGCTTGATTTTCTGACGATTCTGGGTGATCATTGTTTTGTAGTTTAGTGTAAGTTTTGCTGTGGTTGTGTAAGGAGACGAGCCATGTTTACCTACGCCTCCATCTTGACTGGAAATCCTACTCTTTATTATTGAGACTTTACTGTCTATTGGTCCTGTGCCAAGAACTGCACATATATTATTTCATTTAAACCTCACAAGCCTGTATCTCCAGGACCTGGCACAGTGCTCAATAAATGTAGATTGAATGAATAGCCCCAGAGGTAGGTATTATTATCCCCACATTTCAGTTTCTGGAGGTTATATGACCTACGCAAGTCACAGAGTTATTGGATAGAGCAAGAACTTGAACCTGGATGAGTCTGTTTTCAAAGCCTGGAATGTTTACTTAGTGCATTATCATGCCTTTGATGTAGTGAAAAGCTAAGACGTAGAAAATAAGACTGAGACCTAAGACAGAACATAAATTCCCTTGCCTAGAAGCAGAAACCCATGAGCATGGATTGAAACAGGCAGCATGTCCTTTCTCAATGCAAAGTATTGAGAAAAGAGAAGTCACTGGCATTGGACACAGTCCTTTTCTTGTTACATTAAGGAAGTGAGTAAAGGATAAAGAAAGCAAAGGCTGAGAGTATAAGTAATAAACTTGACCTCTTTGTATATGCCTAGTTAAGAGCACAGGCTCTGGAGTCAGGCATATGTCACTTTGAATTCTGCCTCAGTCATTTGGAACTGCAGGGCCTTGAGCAAGTTAATGAACCTCTCTATCATTTTCCTCATCAGCAAAAGAGAGCACCTCTCCATAGAGCCGTTGTGTGGATAAATGAGATAATGTGTGACAGGCACAATACCCAGCACAAACTCAGTGCTCCAGAAAAACCTGTTATTTCTAGTAGTAGTATTTCATTCTCTTTCCCCATTCTAAGATCTAAGTTTGACCAAGAAAGAGGGAGAAATTGGTGCCAAGAGACATGACAAGCCAGAGTGGTCTTAATGCTGTACATTTAGCACTCAAAGTCATAAACCAGATTCTGACTGTTCTCTTTACAAGAGAGCTTTCTATTCCCAACACAGTTCTATACAGAGGTAACCCCAATGCAGATTGGCCCACATAGTAGACATTTTGAGGTTATTTCAGAAGCCAAATAAAATTACATTTTCCCTTATTTGGTCTTCATGCAGATAACATAATTCTAACCCTCTTTTCTTGATCACAAGCAAACCCTGAAGCAATCAAATGTACATTATTTTTGAACCACTTAGAATTTCAGATCTTTTTTTTTTTTTGACATTGCCACAATTGAGGTTTTGGATGCTCCCAAACTGCACCCCACCCCATTACCATCAACACACACACACACACACAAGCCCGACAACCCCTCCCATGCAACCCCATCAGAAAATGCAAATATCGCTGACTCGAGGCAGATAGAATCATCACCTTACTCCACTCCTGACAGCTTGGGCGGGTAAACACTTCCCCAGGTGAGCCATCTGGAGAAAGACCCAGAGGGGAAAACAGGTCTGGGAAGAATGGATTCAGTTTCTGTTGGAACAGCACTTTGGACAGGTCAACAGAGCTCAGACTTGGCACCTGGGTATCTCCAGCTCCACCCTTCCTCTGGGCCACTGTTGAAGCCAGAGCAGAGAAATGCCACAGTGGGGGACCCTATGGGAGGAGGAAACCCCAAGGGACTTCTTCCCCTTCTCCCTAACTCTTTGGGGGAATTTCCAGGCTGCAGAAGGCAATGAATTTAAAACACCAGGAAACTCTCCCTCATCGAGAGGATCCTTAAACACAGGAATAGGCTCAAGACATTCCTTCCCTCAAAACCTTTCATTGTTGGGTCAAATCTGCAGCCTGGGGTTTTCAAGCTCTTCATTTATATCTGCCTTTCAACCCAGCCAGCCTTACCTCCCGTAGCTCCCTAAAATGAACACACTCGCTGGCTCACCCCCAAAGTGACCTCAGTTCCAATGGACATTCCCCCACCCATGTCCTTCATCTGCTCACTTATCCACATACCCACTCAATGAGATTTTCTGAAGCTCCTCTGTGCTATTCTTGATAACAGAGAGTAGAGAGAACAGTGGTTTTTACCTTCTAAATCCACAGCCTGGTGAGAGAAACATTCAGAATGACAGGCAATTACAATACTGGGTGCTACAGGACATATAGTGTACAGAGTGCTTCTCTCAAAAGGCATTTTATTTCCCCCCTCCACCTCTCTCTCTCTCTCTCTCTCACACACACACACACACCCCCTATGTTGGCTTTTTTGTATTTTCACACCTCAGAATTGCTGCAGCAAGTCAGTGTGGTATGTAACCTCGCCAAAGAGCGCCTGAATACACACTGCTTTGCATTGTTCTCTAATTGCTTCTTGCACGTACAGCTTCTCTCCATCCCTCATATAAATATAAAATTCTGCACATTGCAGAGCATATTACTGAGCAACGAATAAGCACCTGGAAAACCTCTTGGCCTGCCAGTCTCTCCTCCATACCGCAGCCAGAGCGATCTCTACAAAACACAGACTTTAGCTTCCTTCTTAGAAACCTTCCATAGGTTCCTTGCTCTTAGGATAAATATCAGAATTCTAACATGGCCTGAGAAACCCAGCATGGTCAGCCCAGCCTGTTTCTCTAGCAGCATTCTGCTGCAACCTCTCCCAGGCTCTCTGTTCCCTCCTTGGACCCTTTGCAACCTCTGCCCAGACTCCTTCCCTCCTCCCCATTTTGCCTTTTTAACGCTGCTCTTCTTTCATATGTTAGCTCCAGGACATAGTTCCCTTTTTGGGAAAACTTCCTGTACCCACCAAGTAAGATCAGGTTCCTTTCTCATTTGCCTCCTTTCCCTCAGAGCTTGTAGCTCAATCTGCAAGTAAGCTTTCATGGGTGGGGTATTTGATTAATGTCTGTGCACCCATTGGGCTGTAAGCTACATGAGAGCAGTGGTTGTGTCTGGTTTTTCACACAATTGGCATCAGAAACACCTGTCCCAGGGCTGACGTATACCAGGTATTCAGTAAATATCTGCTGGATGAATCAATGAATGAATGGAAGAACACTAAGTGTCTTAATGCTCCATGTTCTGTACTCAATGTGGGAATACAAAGTTAAGACTCAATCTCTATCCTCAAGGAGCTCACAGTCAGAGGGCAAAGAGACCAACAATTATTACAGAGCATTGGGTATGGGATTGATTTCCAGTGTCTGCGATGGCCACGGGGTTGGAGGAGCGGTGTTGTGAATGCCTGCGCTTTGGCCCACTTGACCTTCAGTATGTCATATTTACATATTGACCCAGATCATGAAGGGCCTACTGCCATACTTAAGAGTTTGCACTTTAGCTCTGGTTTTATATCAGGACAATAAACATCCTCCAAAACTTTTAAAAATAGGCTATATTCCTGTATGTCTTCAACTAAGGGATATTTGAGCTCCATTTCTCCCCCAAGGACTCTGTGGTTCTGAAATAAAAATTAATTTCTAGTGGCAAGGCTTTAAGTAGCAGGTAGGGGCCTGGTAGAGAAAGGTCAAAGGACTGAACTCCGTCGCCACCCAGTGGTCGGAGCTGCACTTGCATGTTTTTCAGAACAGTTTGCTCCTTGCTCCACCTGCTTCTCTGCAGTTAGTGAGACGTGTCCATTAGTAAACTAATCTGGTGAGTACGCCTAGAGAACAAGGGGAGAGAAGATGGCCTGAGGAGGAAAGGGTAGTCAGTTCGCGGGAAACCCCAGACAACCTCACTCCTAGCAAGTAGTCCTGAAGAGGCCAATCATGGCTTGGGGTTGTGATGAAAAAAAAGAAAGAAAACGCACAAGTGTATTCCAGCTTTACATAGGCCGAGTTTATAACCTGATCTGCCTTGTCCGTGATGAGAGATGGTGTGACCAGCGGGAGGCATCTGCTCACAGTTCCCCAGCAGTGCCTTTAACAATCACACTGCATTGCCTTTAATGCCAGACAGCTATCATAGCGAACATTCCCCTCTCTGTTATGACTGAGCAGATAAAAAATTACATAGGTGACACAGCCTTCTGAGAGCTGTGGCCTCGACTGAGCATTACATAGGTGACACAGCCTTCTGAGAGCTGTGGCCTCGACTGAGCATAGAGTCTAGAGTCAAATAGAGATTTGTCATCTAGATCCATCAGTTGCTAATTCTGTGACTTGGGCAATTTAATTCTCTTCTCTGATCATCAGTTTCCTTGTCTGAAAAAGGGGCAACAATAATTGCATCTATCACAGGGTAATTGTGAAGATTAATTTTTAAAATGTTTATAAATCTCCTAAACCAAGACATGTCATAAAGTGTCATTACTATCACCATCATCATTGTCATTTTATTAATAAGGAACCAGCCTGGGTCAGAGAAGTTACTAGGTTGAGTTCAGAGGAAGTAGACCTGAAAAATGTTCTCCCAACCTAGTACTGCCCAGGCCTAATCCTGCTTAGCTTTAGAGGTCAGATGAGACTGGGCACTTCATGGAGTGCATGGCTGTGGACTGAAAACTGTTTCCTAAGGTTGTTCCACATTCCAGGTTGCCAACAGTAAGTCCCACGGAGCAAATGCACTTGAGGAACCCAAGCCTTCTGTTATTCCTGCTCGGCTTCTTAAGCAACAAATACAGATGTAAAGATGTGATAGAACATAATGTCCTTACAAAAATGGGTGTTTTTTTTTAAATAGCAGCTTATTGAGCTAAAAAGAAAACTTTTTAAAAACTTTAAAAAGAAAAAGAAAACTTTCATTTCTTTCTACTGAACTAATTGTTTTAAAATGTTCTCCCCTTAACCTTTTCCTGTCGGTTTTTGTTTTCAGGTTCCGCCTCTCTTTGCCAGAGTCCAGACGCAGCAATATTGAGGTAGGAATCGGGGCTCTCAGAGTTCCTTGCCCAGGAAGTACAAGAGTTCTCCTATATAGTATCTGGATGATTGTTTTCTATACTGCTGACTAGTGCCTGTTTTCCCCCATAAGTGTAGGCTTTTCCTTTAATATTCTTTATGTAGCTACTAGTCCACCAAGCCCATCCACTATTAAACAAGATAGGAACTCTACGATTCACTTTGATCTGTTCAAAAAGATTTTAAAAAGAACTCAAAAGACTGCTAAGACACTGTACAATGTTTGGAAAAAGAGGGTATTTTCAAGGAAATTTTACTTTTTGGATAAAATAATCCTCTCCAGTTAAATTTAAGAGCCAGATTCCTAAAGGATGAGGCTCTATGTCAATTATTAGGCCATAGGTTGGCTCTTTGAAGGCTTTCTAATCACCTCTTAAAATGAGGTCAAGGCTGGTGGTATAGATACCTTTTTGGGGGGCCCAGCCTGGTGACCTCCTGGCTGGAAGAGTCAGGAGGTCCCAACATGTGACTTGGTACCCCCGACCCCCAAGCTTCAGGAAGATCCGCCAAATCGCTAATTGTGTCCCACTCTCATGGCGCTTGCATTCTAGGGCAGTGGTCCTCAAGTAGGGCCACTGTGGGTGAGCACTTCTGTGGCATAGCCATTAGGCAATGACAGACTATAGTCAGTGAGAATGCATAGCTGACAGTCTCATAAATAATATTTTCTGAGCCCAGCAGAGTGCAAGTTTTCCAGGAAGACCCAGACAAACTCCTTAGTTTCAATAACAAGTATACTAATCATGATGTTTCTGAAAAAATGGCAATGCTATATACTGGGCATAATATTAACTTGTGTAATCCTAACAACACCCTATAAGATCAGAGCTGTTATCTTCACTTTACAGTTGAGGAACTTGAGGCACAGGGAGGTCAAGGAACTTCACCAACATCACACAGTAAAGTGTTAAAAACAGGAGGTAAACCTAGGAAGTCTGCTTCAGAGCCACCCTTGCTAAGTTGCAAAGAGGTCCTTATTATTGCTAAGCTTAGAGGGTGCTCAAAAAATATTGATCGATTGAATTCATATGTATCATGGTCCATTTATTTTTAATACCTGAATCTTCCCAGGAACCAAAACTTTGCTAAGATTATACAACTACCATAGCTTATGAGTGATAAATCAGGTGTTCTGGTGATGCCCTTAACTACGGAGGCATAACATCATGCAAGGGAACCGCTGTGTCTGGGCTGCCTAGTAAATTAAGAAAGACTACTAATTGGGATATGTATTAGTTGCTCTAGATCATCTTACTTGGTAGTATCTCAGCTGCCATGTTTGCTGCCGCCATGTGGTCCCTCTGCATTTGTTGTCACCATGATCCAGGGTAGAGGCGAGCAGAAATGTCTACCCTCAAGGAGGAAAAAAGATTGGGAAACCCCATAATATGGTTTCCCACAAAATAGCTCTCACCATCTGGAAACTAGAATTTGTATTTCTATGGGGAGATTCTAACTACAGCTCTCTATCCTGGTAAGGTGTGGGAAAGTGCAGGTCCAAACCAGGCATAGTACTTTAAAAGTGTCTTGATTTGGCAACTGATTTAACTTCTTTCATTTTAGGTCTTGAGATTTGAAAACATTCTGTCCTCCATTCTCCACTTTGGCGTCCTCCCACTGGCCAACGGTAAGTTGGGAAACAATGTGAGTCTGACATGGGCTAAATGTGGGGGATTGTTTGGGACTTTCCACTCTGAAGCTTCTACTTCTAGAGTGTTATTATGAATCCAGGCCAGTACCAGAATTTGCAAAGTTTGTACCATCAATGATACAGCTGCAAAATTAGTCATTCCAAGTTCAAGCCTTGTTAGCCACTCTACTTGAAGACTCAGCAAGAAAGGCTATTTCTGGTTGAGTTAAAAAGATTGAAACCATTCTCCTTATGCGGTGGAGAGTCTCCTTCAGCCAGAAATGGCATGACTCTCACTAGCAGTTGGTGTCTCTGTGGTTCTTATGCAAAGATCACCATCTGGATAGATAGAGTTTTAATGAAATGACAACTGTTCTCACGCAGCAACATTTTCAGTTTGGCTTAATTAACATATGCTTTGTATTATAGGCCAAAATGTTCTCAGGACCCACTAAGTTCTTTTCAAAATATAAATTGGACAAGGTGCCAGCATTTTCCTGCCATCCAAATGCACATAATTGCAGGTGCATTTTTATTAAACATGGATTAATTAACCATTCTTCCAGGGAAATGCTAGGGACAGATTAGAGAAAATGAAAACACAGAACTAGGGAGAATGAGAAGATAAACTATTTAAAAGCTGCTTGTTAGTCTTTTACTAAAAAACTTGCCAAAACTTTACGTGCCCATTCCCAAGTATTTTACATCTTGTTTTATATTTTAGCAAAATTGCAGCAAGGATTTCCTCTGCCCAACCCACACAAAATCTCATTCGTCAACTCAGATATTGAAGTCCTAGAGGTAAGAATGTGAATATTCTCTTAACTGCCCCATTCCTTTTCATAGTAGAATAAGCCTCTTTCTATTTGCTTACTTCCTATTTTATTTTGTTCTGCTTTGCTTTTTCCCAGCCCAGGGAATTTTTTAAACAAAATGTTTGGTTCTTCAAGCTTGCAATTTACAATGAGACGCATTTAAGCTTGAGCTTTAAAATCAGACCAGGACCCATCTCCCTTTGTGGCCAAATTTATTCAAACCACAGAACAAGATGCACTGCACTGTACTGTATTTTATTTCACAAGACAACCTGTAAGGCTGGGATTATTAGTCCCATTTTATAGATAAGGAAAGTTAAGATTCAGAGAGGTGGAGCAGCTTATGTAGATGGCAAAAGGCATGACCAGGGGACAGGGAGAGGAGGCTGTGACACAGCAGGACCTGGTAAAGGAGCCCTCTGTCCCTCACCCAGATATCCTATGGCTGCAGGTGCCCGAAGTTTAACCTTATCTACATTGTTGCATCTTTTTCAGCATTTCCTTTTGATTTCCACCGACCTGAAGTATGAAACACCTTTAAAACAGCCATCAAGTTTCTATGGTTGGGAAGGTCTGAACCTGATAAGTGGACAGTGGAGGGGGAAATCCGTCCCCTGACTGCCTGACTGGAGTCCACTCCAGGAAGTAAATGGCCCTTAATCCCACCTACTGTAAACCCAGAGGGAGAAGACAGTGCACGCTGGAGTTGTAAAGTTCTTGTCAAGTGTTTAGGCTGAAAGTTTTCGTTCTCAGGTCCTCAGAGACAGGGGAGGCGAACTGGGTTCAAGAGTTAAATCAGGGTGTGTGTGTGTCCGTGTGTGTGGAGAGATGGACAGCTGAATGTGTGTTCATATTTCAGTGCATGTTGTGTGTTCCTGTGTGTGTAAGATTCTGTGGCCAAGAGCAAGGCATGCCCTTCCGATGAGGCGCATGAGAAACTCCTAAGGACAGATGAGAATTGCTGTCGTCAGTGGAGAGCCCTTTGGCCCTTTCAGCTCTCCAGGGTTCTCCCCTCCCTGCATATTGTTGGATTTTGTTTTATATGTACTGCTGCTGTCCCCTGTATTTAATTAAAATTGTTTTCTATCAATGTCAACCTTGTCTTTTTATTTGCAAAATTTCCTGCCCCAGATTTAAAAAAATAAAAAAATAAATCCAGGAAAGAGGGAAGAGAATTTAGTGTCTCTAACACCAATGAAAACTGAGGTGGTACAGATTTCAAGGCTTGATTTTTGCCTCTTACATGTTTCCGGTGAGAAACAGGGTGGTCACAGGAAACTCTGGAAGTCGTATCACTTCTTCCAGTTTTAGGATGTTTTCCCTCCCCGATTAAGTGAAACGGCAGAGCAGAGTCCTAATCCTAGAGAATTTACAGTTGATGATGACACTAATGTTGTCAGAGCACCTGATCAAGGGGGTGAAATTGGAGCAAAAGAGGAGGAAAGGGAAACCAGTATGAATAATGTAAGAGATGAATAGAGGCCACAACTTTGGATTTGTGTTGTTTACAATCTGGGGGGCGCGATGGAAGACCGAAATGATTGGCGTGCTAACCGCATGTCCGACCCTGTGTTGAGTACCTCACAGATGTCGGTTCATTTAATCCTCACAGCATCTGTATGAAGAATTACGCTCCCATTTTATAGGTGAGAAAACAAGGGTTAAGAGCGATTAGCCACACAAAGTCAGTAAAGGGCAGAGGTAGAAACTGAATCCAAGTCATTCTGATTCCAAAGTCGCTGTTCTTCACCGGAAGTAGCACTAGAAACTGAAACCGCTTAAAGCTCTTATTATTTTGAACAAGAAACATTGCATATAAAAGCATGATCATAGAGCCCTTGGTCGCCAAAGAAGGCTGGACTGGAAAGCCCTGGCTACCCGCAGGGACTGACCTTCACTCCTCGGAGCGCACATCTGGCCCTAACAGCTGTCCCCATCAAGTGTTTGTCAAAATAAATGATAAACTGTCATGTTTCACTCTTTGGGATTCTCTTTCATGACATAAAAGTTATTCAAGGTACATGCACAAATTCATTCTGAAACATTACAAATGTTCGGTTGTGGTATTTATTTAAACATGTTCCTCTTTCTCAGCTACACACGTCTTTCCCCACCCCGCACTGCCGGCGGTGATTTATCCATTAGAGCAGCCGAACCTGACCTCGACTCAGCCAAACAAAACAAAACAAAACAAGAGATAACTAGATCATACTAAAAACTACTGGATTTAGCTAATTTAGCTGTAGCCTAGAAGAGAACGACTAGTCAATTGTCCAAAAGGGTAAACACTAGAGGGCAGTCTAACTTATCTGAGGGAAAAGCGGTTGTGCGGTGCGGTTGGAGCCTCGGCACTTGCCGTAGCCCATCCAGCCGCGGAGCCGGTCGCGCCTGCGCGTTGCGTTCCGGAAGGTGGCGCTTCAGGCAACGGGACAACGCGGCGTTTCTCTTCAAAGCGGAGCCGGGAGTTGATTCCGTGGTCGCCACGATGAGTCGCAGCTACAATGATGAGCTGCAGTTCTTGGAAAAGATCAATAAAAACTGCTGGAGAATCAAGAAAGGCTTCGTACCCAACATGCAGGTGAGGCAGGGGAACAGGACCCGGTGGCCGGGCCTCCCCAGCTGGAGCCCCGCGGCGCCTCCCGGCCACCCGCCCGGCCTTCTCCTCACCCTCTCGACCCCGGGCGATCTTTGGGGCCGCCCCCACCCCCGATCTCCCCCACCCCCAGCAGAGTTCCTCCCACCCACCCCCACGCTCCCCACCCTTTGGCCTGAGGGCTACCAGACCGGTACGTGTGAGGGCCCGTGATGCCGCTGGAGAGGCCCCCAAATCACGTGGACAAGCAAAGCGGAGTATCTGTAGGGGTTCCGAGTAAATACCAAGTTAGCGTTTGCAGACCTTTTTCTCCCACAAAAGTGTCCTAAACGCACCGTAAGATGGGCTACATTCCTGAGCTTCAGAGACGTAAATTGCCTTTTACAAGGTGGGGCCTGGAGCTCAGTTCCTCCGAGTCATGCTGGCCACTCAAGTGACCTTTACAGGTCTCGGTTCGCCCAACGAAGTGTTTAACATTCGCAGCGCCGAGCTGGTTTTTAACAAAACGGCTTTGCTCCTCGCAACAGTCTAGAAAGTTCACGGGGCAGGTAATGTTTGTGTTTCATATTCGCCTCGCAGAAGGACCTTGAGGAACAGTCGGTGACACAGCGTCCTTTACCCACCTAATAAGAAGCTCAGCCAGGACGGGATGTATCGATCACTTCTTCCTCTGCCAGGAGGGACCCTGGGGAGGCCCGTGCCAGCGTTGGAAAGCTCAGGCTCCCTTGCCATTTGTGCCCATTATCTTCCATTAGAGAAGAGAACGAAGGAAGGCACTTGTGAGGTTTTGCTGCCTGTGCTGTTAAATGGCTTTTGGAATCCCTTAAGGGGCCATGCCAGCGCACAGACGATTTGTGATCCTGCCTTGGGGAAGGTCCTTGAAAGCCGCTCCACCCTTTTATTCAGTATCAAAACTTACGGAGTGTCCCCAATGCGTAAAGCACGTAGTTAGACGCCGAGGGGAGGAAAGCCCACAGGTACAAAGACTCCTCTTTGTTTTCCACCTGGCCAGTTTCATGGTGGTTCCCTGAACGCAGAAGAGGAAAATAATTACTGGGATAGGATCGTCATAAAGAATCTGTGACGCGTTGTCTGGCCGCAGTCCTGGCTTAACCTGTGATGCACATACTGCTGGTAATTCTGCCCAAAAGCAAGTGTAACTTTGTTGGCAGCTCTGGTTTAACTACCTCTACTACACTTTTCGGTGGACCTATCCCTTAAAAGGGGGGAAGTTGAAATCTTGACATATTACTCTTAAAATGTTACCAGCCTCTATGGCAAGTTTAAATCGTGTTCCCATCCTCATGAGAGTCATGAATTTCACATTAATAATTATCCTGTTCTTTGTAATCTCCATTCCCCTTCTGAGGCCCACATGCTCCACTAAAAAATCCCTTTTTGTTCCCTAAAACTGGTTCTCTCCCATCTTTATGTCATCATTTCGTTCATCTCCTCCATGTGCTGGTATTCCAGTGACATCTGTTGTCTTTGAAGAGCCGATTCAAACAGCGAACAAGCTGAACAAAAAGTGAGCAGCTTGTGGAGGCTCCCCTGGCTGCCTAGCATGTTGCGCCACTTTTTAACCAGTCTGCACGGCACTGTGCACTCCTGTGGGAGCGCTTGCCTTGCTGAGCTTATAATTTGCTCGTCTGGGCTGTGTTCTAGACTGGAAGCTCCTCCTGCAGCATCCTGCATATTCTTTATATCTCCCTTTGTGCACAGTACAGTACCTGACACATTAAAGTCCTCAGTAAATGGTGGAGGTATTAATTAATGTCACTTTTGATATTGTACTAGAGACGTTTCCCATCAACAAGTATTGTTATTCATACCGTAGTTAAGATGCAGAAATCATCTTTCTGATAAAAGCAGTTTATTCGTCTGGATGATTAAGTATTAAATCTTTGGCTCTTCTTTACTGGGCAGTTCCTTCATAATATTTGATTTCTGATAAAAATGTTCTGGCTTTTGGTGTTAGTTACATAATTGTATCTTTTATTACCTTTTGTGTGCTTTCTTTATCCTCTTAAGATACAGATTATAGAACTGAGCACACAGCTATATAGCTACACATTAAATTGTTTTTACTTGCCATCTACCTATGTATAGATTTGTAAATCAACATAGGACACAATAAAGTGCGATGTTTGTTGTCTTAAGTACAGAAAAAGTACTCTTAAGTTAGATGACTGCATTTTTATGTTTGGAAATTGAGATTGTGATTCATCTGGTTTTTTTTTTCAAAATCCATTGATATTTTAGAAGCATGATACTGAGACCTTTTGGCAGTTGGAGCAATTGGCAGACTTTTATCACATATACAAAATATTTTACCTGTTCAATTCTTAAATGTGGCTTTGAGAGTAGGAGAATAAACAAAACAATTTGTAAGCCCTGGAGAGAGTGGCTCTGTTGGAGCATCGTCCTGTAAACTGAAGGGTGCGAGTTCAGTCCCAGTGGGAGCACAAGCAGGAAGCAACTGATTGCTGTTTCTCTCACTTCGATGTTGCTCTCTCCTCCCCGCCCCTCTCTGAAATCAAAAAGCATGTCCTCGAGTGAGGATTTAAAAAAAAAAAATTTGTGAACATTTCAAATACATTTTTAAGATACGTAGTTGACCCTTGAACAACACAGGTTTGAATTGCACAGGTCCACTTATACATGTATTTTTTTCAACAAATACTGTAAATGTATTTTCCTTATGCTTTTCTCAATATTCTCTTTAGTTTTACTGTAAGAATACAGTACTAACACACGTAACATATGAAATACATTTTAATAGATTGTTCATGTTATCAGTAAGGTTTCTTCTGGTCTACAGTTAGGCTATTTGTAGTTAAGTTTTGGGGGATTCAAAGGTTCCTCATGATTCCATGGATTTTCAGCTGCATGGCAGGGGGCGGGGGAAAGTGGTTGAGAGCACCTTAAGCCCCCATGTTGTTCAAGGGCAGCTATACTTAAGGATGAGAACATTTTGTAGGGTTTTTTTCTGTATTTTAGAGAGAAGAAGGGAGAGAGAGAAACAGTGATTTGTTGTTCCACTTCTTTATGCGTTCATTGGTTGATTCCTTTATATGCAAATCTGCAATCTCTGTGTATAGGGATGACATCTTACCTCCTGAGCTACCCACCAGGGCCCATCTTGTACTTTTTGATGGGGAGTGGGAAGTTTTCTGCTTATTTAGGTAATGTGAAAGTGTTTTTAAAAAGTAAAGCAAAATAAATATTTCATACAGCTTTTGTAGTCTATCCAATGTCTCTTCATCATATGTATGTATTCAGACATAGTTTTTCCTTTTCTTTGGTACTAGGTTGAAGGAGTTTTCTATGTGAACGATGCTCTGGAAAAATTAATGTTTGAGGAATTAAGGAATGCCTGTCGAGGTGGGGGTAAGTACATTAGAATTTTATGTGTGGTGTTTTGTCTTCCCTGTAGCCTGAGGGGGGAAAATGGTCATTTAGGTCATCATTATTTAAAAGTATAAAAATATTGTCAAGAAATGAGACCAAAAACTATTTCTAATTTGTGGTTATATTATTAGCTATGTAACCTTACAGAAACCATTTGGAGCTGGATGGACCAGGTTGGTTTGAGGATAACCTTGGATAATAATAAGAGTTACCATTTTATTGTGCACTTACTATGTGCTGGGCACTTTACTGGGACTTTACACAGCTCATGTCATATAATTCTTAGAATAACTCTAAGAGGAAGATATTGTCTCCATTTGAAAGATGTGTTAGGCCAGGTTCAGTGAGGTTAAGTAATTTTAACTTGTCCAAAGTAGCACAGCTTCTGGTGGCAGAGCCAGGTTTCAGACCCAGGAGTACCTGATTCCAAAGTCAGACTTCTCAACCAGTATGCTGATTAGCCTCACTGCACTTCCGTTACCTCGTCTGTAAAAGAGAGTGTATTACACCTGTCCTGCAGGACTACAGCAAGGTTTAGAGATAAATATATAAAGCTCTAATAGTAAATTAAATCTAATTTTAACCCTTTTATTTTTTAGATCAACAAACTAAATCTCCCCCACCTCCTGCCAGGGTGTGCTGACTTGTCTAAAAGTATACAGCAACCAAGAGCTGGGGCTAGAACCCCTGGTCCCCTGACTCTTAATCCAGTGTTTTCCCAACTCCATATGGCCCTTATTTGTCACTTAGAGTAAAACCAGTGTTGATTTTTTTTTTAATAAATTATGTGAATTATGAAAGAATACATGTTTTGTATTGACAACATGATGTTAAATAGTGATGTTTTACATTTCCAAGTACATTTGCAATAACTGTCTCGTGTTGCACAGAACACTGACAGATAGCTATCATTAGTCTGTTCGCCTTCACCGCCTTCCTGTGCATCGGCTGCCTGCTAAAGAAGCTGCCTTCACACTTCCATCGCAGACATTTTTTTGCTTTGTGTTGGTAGTCCTAGTCACTTCCCTTCATGTAATGCCACTAGAAGTGTATGAATATACTTACTAAGAATCAAATGTGTCCTCTTTTCTGATGTTAAATTTTGTCTTTAGGTGTTGGTGGCTTCCTGCCTGCCATGAAACAAATCGGCAATGTGGCCGCCCTGCCTGGGATTGTTCATGTGAGTCCATGTTCAGAGCTTTAATTATTTCTATTTTTCTTAGTCTAAAAGTTTGTCAAATGGATGAATGTCCATGCCTGACTGCTAGTAGTGTCATTTAGACAGTGGCCTTTGGACATCTAGAAATAACCACGGGACATAAAGAAATAATTGGGCCTGAATCACACCACAGGTTCTGGTTGCCTTTGGCTAGAACCTGTGTAAGTATTTGAGAGCCTTTGAAGTAGTTTTTAATGTGTTCTTGTTTCTTTGTCATTGTACACCATTTTTCCTGGATTAGTAAACCACCACAGTAGTTTTCACTGTGGCGCCATTTAAGAGGATGATTGGAGAAGGAATGGAAGGATGTTTAAGGGTTGGGACTGAGGAGAGGGAGAGAGAACATAGCTATTCTGGTCATGACTGAAAAAGAGGGTAGTGACAATAATAGGGATAAAACTGGATGGTACAAGTGGGCTTGTACTACATTCCAGCGTTCAGATTCCACTACTACAGGTAGATGTTAAAATGAATCCATTCTGCAGACATTTTTTGAGGTCTTCATTGCCAGTTACTGTGCTGGGCACTGGGGGCCAGGGATAAGAAGATGTGGCTTATGTATATGAGAAACTTGCATGTGTCTTGGTACCTCCATATACCCTCAGCATATTTGACCTGCGTTCCTTCTGGGTCAGGATCCCTTTCTAGGCCTCAGATGTAGAATGTATACAGTAGTCATACCATTAAATGGATTACAACGGTCTATGATCGCTTAAACACTAAGGACCTACAGTATATAAATCAGATATTTATCTCCTTTTAACCTGTCATGACCACGACTTGCCAACATCTATCTTTAGATGTCTTTAAAATGTAATGACATGTTAAAGGTAGTCTGCGGTCCTCCTGTATCATGTTACACTGAAGCTTTTCTGTTTGAGGTTTCCTTAGTTAGGGGTCAGATTTTATAGGAAGGATCTTCCTCCGCTCTATTAACTTCACGATTAGGAGTTTTTACACCTGATTTTCACCAATGGAGAATATTTTCTGCAGCGAGAATCTAGGTTTGAGGACGGCTTTAGCCTGCAGCCCCTTTCAGAATCACTCACAGGTCCGTCGGGCAAGCGGAGTGCCAGGCTGAGAAAGCTGTATTTCATTCTCTGATTCTCTTTCAGCGATCTATCGGACTTCCCGATGTGCATTCGGGTTATGGGTTTGCAATTGGGAACATGGCAGCCTTTGATATGAGTGACCCGGAAGCAGTGGTGTCCCCAGGTAAGGTGACTGCACGCTGCTGTCTAGAGTGTAGCTTCTCTTAGTGTGTCGTCGCCGTTCTGAACTAGAGCTGGCTTCTTCTTCTGTGTGCTTCTCTGTCTCATCAAACGCTGTCATTTCTTTTCCTCATTTACTGAGAGAATTGTGGACACATAGAGTCTCTTAAAATATCAAAGAAAGTATGTATTTGTTGAGAATTCTTTAGGCTCTTACTATATGCCAGGCACTATTCAGACATTGGCTATGAAACAAACTGAAACACTTTCCTGGCAGTTTATGTGTCTTTATGTCCCAGTTACCTCTTGGGCAAATTGGAGCATTATTGTGAGAATTAAATGAGTTAAGCTGTGTAAAGTACTTCGAACAGCGCTAGGCACATAGGAAGTCTTCGGTGTTTGCTTTCATTACTGTCATTATTTGCCTCCAGTGGTATATGTCTTTTCTGTTGTGGGTGCTTTCACTGAAGATATTTCACGTCAGAAGTAATATCTTTTTTTTCACAGTCTGGGGAAAAAGTATAAACTGCATCTTGAGAGTTCTTCCTCTGGCAATGGTGAACATGGTTGTTTCACATTAATCCCTTGCTGAGAATAACAAGAAAGCCTGAATAAAAAAATTTTTTTTAATCTCTTTGAGAGCATGGGAAAGCTATTACCACAGTAAGAATTTGTGAGGCTAGAATCCAAAGAAAAAGAAAAATACAAATACATGATCCCAACATTTAACACTGTTTTTCTCTTGAGGTAATGGCAGATTTCAGCCAGTAAGGATTTAGATGATTTGAACAATCTACTTGACAAACTTGACACCTTGACCTCTAAAATAAATGCATGGTTGTGTGTACACACACATTACAGCACATCCAAGAACTGTAGAATACTGTAGACATTTTTTTCAAGTGCACACAACATTTACAAAAATTGACCAGGTGCTGAGCCAGAAAGCAGGTCTCAAATTTCAATGCATTGAAATCAGAGAGGCAGTTCTCAAAAATTTTGGACTAAAGACCCCTTTACACACTTTAAATATTTTTTTTGAGGGTTAATGTCAAAAGCTTCTATCAACATTTACCTTACTAGACATTAAAGCTGAAACATTTTTAAAACAATAATATACAAGTACATATTTCATTATCCATCAGAGCAAACATGTTATCACATGTCATGTAGCCTTTGGAAAACTTTACCCTCAAGAGAGTAAGTTTAAAAGGCTAATAATACTTTAGCATTATTTTACTTTTAGTCTTAGACCTGAAAGGATCTCTGTACCACACTTTTGAATCACTAATATAGAGGATAGTCTCTTACCACAGTGAAATTAAGGTAAAAATCAGCAACAACAACAAAACTATTTTTTTTAAAACCTCATATATGTATAAATTAAGCACTATGTGTTTAAATAACCCACGGGTCCAAAAAAAAAAACCCCACAAAGTAAATACAAAATAATTTGATATTAATAAAATATTTATGTCTAAAAGTTATGGTTACTGTCAGTGCCATACTTGGATAGAAATATAGAGCCTTAAATGCACAAATTAGAAAAGAAGAAAGGTTGACTGTCAATGATCTAATCATTCATCTGAAAAAGTTAGAGAAAAAACAAATTAGAAACCCAAAATGAGTTGTTTTGGTATCATCAGGCTTTACCCACAGAGAACCACTTTACTGGCTACTATATAGCAGTTTTGTTTTGTTTTTAAAGAATGGCGGTCTTTTAAACCCTGTATTAATGGTGGGAAGCACGGGTAACAATGCCCAACTACCTCATTTTCCTAATATTTAACAGACTTTTCTGTATTTTGCAGGTGGCGTCGGATTTGACATCAACTGCGGTGTTCGCTTGCTAAGAACCAATTTAGATGAAAGCGATGTCCAGCCTGTGAAGGAGCAACTTGCCCAAGCCATGTTTGACCACATTCCTGTCGGGGTGGGATCAAAAGGTGTCATCCCCATGAATGCCAAGTAAGCCCAAATTTCCAACAGATGGAGTGAGAGAAGTGACACCCACAAGGCCCTCACGTTCATTTCCAACGTAGGACAGCTAGGAGATGGGGATTGTTCAGTCTCTTTTCAGGAAATGGTAATGAATTGCTCTCTTAAGCATGAGGTCCAGCCCACTCTGAAAACCATACCTGGAACAGAGAGAAATTCTACTCATTTTTATTCTATTTATTTTATTTTTTATTTAGAAAGGTTTTTTAAATTTATTTTAAGGGAGGCGGGGGAAGGGAGAGAGAAAGAGGGGAGAGAAACATTGATGCGCAAGAGAAACATCTATCTGTTGCCTCTCGTGTGCACCCTGACTGGGGATCTAACCCGCGACCAGGCATATGCCTTTACCAGGAGTCAAACAGACGACTGTTTGCCTTGCAGGATGACACCCAAGCAACTGAGCCACACTGGTCAGGGCTTTATCCGTATTTTAGATAAAAATTTTGTCCTAATAAGTACTGTTTGAAATGGGCTACAGTGGGGCAGAAACTTTGAACATTGCAGTCTCTCCCGGCAGTGTTTCACAAGAGAGCTGGGCCTTAGGTGAAGATCAAAGCTTTTTCCTACTAGGGGTTTTAATGGATGTGCACCTCAACCTCAAAATACAGGTGCAATAAAGCCACGAAGTGTTTTGTGAAGGTAAGAATAGAGCTTGAAATTTAACCTGTATTGCCTGAGGACATTTTAGATAGCTTTATTTATTATTTGACTGTAACTTTTCATAAATTATTAAAGCAGGCAGGTAGATATGATAAAGAAAGTGATACCTGATTATGGTTATAAGTATTCTTTGGCTGCTTAATTGCCACCTCATAGAATTCAGGATCAGAGCGATAAGTAAGATTTGAAAAATATAAATAAAGGCTATATGAATGTCAAGAAAGAACTATAATCACCTCTAATGTGGCATTTACCATTTTATATAGCAATTATTTGTGTAACTGCTTTTCCCCAAAAACTATAGATTTGTTCTAAGTTATCTAAGATAATGCCTGGTACACAGGCGATTGTCGGTAAACGTAGTGTTTCCTCTGCCCTTTGAGATGTGGTCGTCCTTAGGTTTTGATCTGCTTTGACTGCGGAATGACTAGCACCTTATTACTCACTTAGAGACTTGGAAGAGGCCTTGGAGATGGGTGTGGACTGGTCGCTGAGAGAAGGCTATGCCTGGGCTGAAGACAAGGAGCACTGTGAGGAGTACGGAAGAATGCTGCAGGCTGACCCCAACAAGGTCTCCGCGAGGGCCAAAAAAAGGGGCCTTCCTCAGGTAACGCTCGCTTTGGAGGGGGAACGTGTTCATATTCTTCAAATTCTGTTTTTGTTGGTGGAAAATGGTCTGTCTTCTGTGTAGCAAATACATATCTCCAGGTTTTTTCACAGTATATCAAAATGAGCACAAATTTATTTGTTTATGCGTTACTCTTACTCTTTTAAGAAGCTCTCAGGAGCTTGCCGATGTTCATAAGATAAAACAAGGCACCATGAATTAGAAGTGAATGGGAGAAAAACAAGTTATGATTATAAAGCTTAAAATGTATGCTAAAATTGCATATGTACCTATTTTGACAAGCTAAGATTTGGCCGAAAGAGTTTTCATGAAAGGTCTTAGCTGAAAATAGATACTTTGTCAATTCATGGTGTTCATGAGATAAGAATATACCAGATACTTGACGTTTATAGCTAATTTTGATGGCTTTGCCATTATTAAATCACTGTGACTTTGAGCAAGTCTCTCTTTTTGCCCAGCTGGGTCTCCTTTTCCCTTCTGAAAATTGAGATAGTTAAAGCTAGGCAACCTCTAACAACTCTTTGAGCACTGCCGTTCTCTAGTTCCCTAAATTATCTGTTAGCTCCAGTTAAGGGACATAGTCTTGCAGTGATGGATAATGGTGTCAGTGAACTCAGGGATGTTCTTCCCGAAATTTGACCCTTCTCTCAATGACGTTTAAATATCCTTTGAGCCATTTAATGGTATGGGTTTTGGTTTATGAAGCTTTTAATATGTGTGCACCTCGAGCAGATAATAATACAGTAAACTTCAGGAGCTGCTCTGCATTATTATTATTGTGTGGAATTTGCTTTAAATAAATGAAGCATTTCTAAGGCCTAGAAGTTTTTTTGTTAAATAAAACACTACTTGGGTGATAATTTTTTTTGTTGTTGGTTGTTTTATACCTATTTGCTTTTAAATGGATTCTTTTTGTAAAAAGTCAGAATAGAGGCTATTTTATCAGACAGTCTTATCTTTGCAGTTGGGGACCCTGGGAGCAGGTAACCACTATGCAGAAATCCAGGTTGTGGATGAGATTTTCAATGAGTATGCTGCTAAGAAGATGGGTATCGACCATAAAGGACAGGTGTGCGTGATGATCCACAGTGGAAGCCGAGGCTTGGGCCACCAAGTAGCCACAGGTATACTCTGGACCTAATTTTTGGCATCATACTAAAGTGTACATTTTATGGGGAACCATATAGAGATTTAAGAAGAAAGCTCTGGAACTATACTGTATAGGTTATCACCCTGGTTCTTCTGACTAGACCTGAAACAAATTAACTTCACTGGGCCTTAACTTCCTTGTGTGGAAAAAATTAGGAATATTAACTATTCACATTACGTTGTCATAGTAGATTAAATGAAATAATATATGTAAACATTCATGACATGAATTCAGCAAATAAGTATTAAATACTTATCTTGTTTAGGTGTTACAGTAGATTCAGTGATGGCATCAGCAAGGACTGTGCCCTCACGTTGTCTTATGAAAGAGATGTGATATTCATTAAAAAGCAAAGAGTATAAGACAGAAGGTAGTGATGGATGAAATATTATAGAAGAGACAAAAAAAAAATCAAGATTTCAGAGATGGCCTCATGGACATGTAATGTTTGCAGTTTGGACAATCATACGTGAAAGACAAAGGACATTCATGACCACAAGACAGCATGAACAAAAGTGGGGGGCAGGGAAATAGCAGGAAGATCACTCTGAATAATTATAAGATGTGTGAAAGGATTTATGAATACATGAAAAGTTATAGAGACATGGAAATTATAAACTTTAAATTGCCTATTATAGTTCATCCTTCTATGTACATTTCATCCTATGGGAATTTAATAATTTGTGCCAGCTTGACCCATTAGAATATTTCATCTGGCAAATACATGAGCATTGACTAGTATTTTAAAACTTTGTGCTGAGAACTTCTCTATATTTGATCATGGATTTGATTTTCCTGCAGAAGATCTAGCAACTTATATCCAGTTCTTTTACACTAAGTCACTGAAAATTATTTTTAAAAACCATGATGGTAATAAAATGTATTTTACTACTTTTGTTCTTACTCATCCATATGCCAGGATAGGAGTAACTACGCCATGCTGTTGCTCTGCATGGACACACCTCATTTCCCTGACAAGTTCTTGGGGGGCAAATGCTGTCTTTGTGGCCCACTTACCCTTTGTCACGGCTCTGACAGGGAAGATTCTCAGTAAATACTGACCAAGCAAATAGATGAACTCAGAAGCACTTCAGAAGGAAAGCTGTACTTTACATGGTTTTGTTGTTGTTGACAGAATGGATTTGAGTATAGCCTAGCTTTCTGCAGTAAACCTGAATTATAAAGGGAAAGCTGACTGGTTTGGACTTGTTGCTCTCCTGTTCCAGATGCCCTGGTTGCTATGGAAAAAGCCATGAAGAGAGACAAGATCATAGTCAATGACCGTCAGCTGGCTTGTGCTCGAATCTCATCCGCAGAGGGCCAGGACTACCTGAAGGGAATGGCGGCAGCAGGGAACTATGCCTGGGTCAACCGCTCTTCCATGACCTTCCTGACCCGTCAGGTACTTGAAGTTGCTCTTCTATCCCAAGTTACTCATGATGAGGTTAAGTGCTTTGAAATAGTGTAGTCAAATCAGAGCCTGTGAAATTTGGTTTTGGAAATTTATATTAAAAAATATTCAAAATTTTGGCAGCGCCTAAGCTTTTGAAGTCTTCTTAAAATAAACAAGCAGAGGATCAGGTGTGGGGAACGAGGGAAGAAGAGAAGCCAGCATGGTTCCTGGAATTTTCCTTGAGCAGTAGAGAGGATAGAAGTGCCATTCACTAAGGTTCAGAAGGCTGTGGGGGAAAAGTTCTCAAGGGTGGGATCGAGAGTAGCCAAGCAGCTTTTCAACCTAAGTTGGACTTTATGGAATGGAATTTCTCTGGTCTAAAAGACAGTTTTTGTCCTTTACATGAAGATTCATAATACTGCTGCTTTTAAATTCTTAAATCCCTCACTCCCTTCAGGAACAAACTAGCTGCAATCTCTAAGATAAGTTCTGAAGAGCTGGCTTTGGCTTCTTTTAACTTAAGCTTTTTCTCTTAGGCTTTTGCCAAGGTCTTCAACACAACCCCTGATGACTTGGACCTACACGTCATCTACGATGTTTCTCACAACATCGCCAAAGTGGAACAGCATGTGGTGGACGGGAAGGAACGGACCCTGTTAGTACACAGAAAGGGGTCCACCCGAGCTTTCCCTCCACACCACCCCCTCATTGCTGTTGATTACCAGGTACGTCGTTCTAAGCCATTCGTGGTTTCAGTCAGTGGGTGCATGGCTTAGGTAGTTCCAAATATGGAGGGATTTAAGCAAGAAAGAAGCAATGGTGGAAAGGAAATCTGTCATCCCTGAGAACGGTGATTTCTAATCTCTGAAGCAGACTGCCCCCATCATCTGAGCTTCAGGATTATCTTTTTAAGGTTTGAATGATTGAAAGACAGGGTTGAGATTAAATTTGATCTGTTTCATTCATTTTATCCTCTTGGTGTCTGATTGTGATAGAGTTAGAAAGATCCTTAATCTACTCCCATTTCATAAATGAGGAAACTGAAACCTGGAGAAGGCAGGATGGTTCTTCTGATAACCCTACACATTGGAATTTTGCTTTGCTTTTGCGTTCAGTCTGCCTTCTGCTGCCTTTTTGATCCTCAAATTTTCATTCCTTTCTTCTTCCCTCCCCTCTCAACTATCAAAGAATCAAAATAATGTCAGTATAGCCATGAGAGGAATGCATTTAGATGCTTAGATTTCTCCCACAATCCTCCAGTATAAGGAAATTTAAACCACAGGCATAAAGCTCATGCTTTTCTAAATTTTAACATGGTTGATGTGTTGCATCCTCAGCTCACTGGACAACCAGTACTCATTGGTGGCACCATGGGAACCTGTAGTTACGTTCTTACTGGCACCGAACAGGGCATGACTGAGACCTTTGGAACGACCTGTCATGGAGCGGTAAGGAAAACAAACCTACATAGAAGTGCTCTCTTCAATTTAGTCATTGTTTTGCTGTTTTGCATTTTGAAAGGTAAATGTACTTGGTTGAACATTAACAAAGTTGAGGTTTGAGTCTTGTCTTCCTGCTGAATTTATTCCCATAATTTCTGCCGCCTGGTGAGCCAACCGAAGTCATCTGGGATCTCTACTAGCAAAGTCATTGTCAGGCCAAGGGTCATTGTGGCTCTCCAAGTCCACAAAATCCAGACTGAGAAATTGTCACATTAGCATAACTGATACAACTTTAACTGATGAAGATTTACCTCACAGGTTATCTCATTCAACACATCTAGTCGTTTGCGTAATTTGCTCCTTACTGGGCGGGTCCACTCAAGATTTGGGGGATATGCCCTGTGTGCAAATCAGAGCCCTTGCATATAGACCGTACAACTATATCAGCCTCTTTGTTGGTAAACTTTCTGTAAGGCACCAGAGAGTAAGTATTTTAGGGTAAGGGACCATATGGTCTCTGTAGCAGCCATTCCATTGTGCCAGTGAAAAAGCAGCCATAGACAGTACATAAATGAATGGGCATTGCTGGCTTCCAATAAAACTTTATTTGCAGGAACAGCTGTGGCAGGCCAGATTTGGCTCACAAACCAGTGGGCCAGCCCTCTTCTGAGCCCTTAGCTAATTATGTAGTAGAAAATAGAAACTTTCTAGAATACCTTCTCATAGCACAAACTGTCACAAATGCGTTTTAATTTTACTTTTTTCTCTGATCCTTTTTCATTTCCAGTTGCCTCCCAACTTCTTATTTTAACCTAGTGATCAAAACCAGTGTGATGTCTCACATACACACAAGCAATGTCTGGGGGCATTTTTGATTGTCGCAGTTGGGGAGGGGAGTTTTCCTACTGGCGTCTAATGGGTGGAAGCCAAGGATGCTGCTGAACATCCTACAATGTACAGGACAGTCCCCACAACAAAGAATTGTCTGGTCCAAAATGTCAGTAGTGCTAAGGTTGACAAACTTAAATCATAAAGACTATAAAGCTTTTGTGATAGCAGACATACTGTTTACAATTAAAAAGTAATATATTTATGTTGAATTGATAATTAATAGTAATTAGAAACACAAAACTAAATCTTTAAATACTAAATGTTTTGTATAGATGGAAATTTGTTCTCCAAAAGGATATGATGAGGCTTAAAAGGCACATAATAAGGTTGATAAAATAGTTAAAGATTGTCTTTTAACTCCATTTTTAGTTTAAAAAGAAGGCAGGGGAAAGGCATATAATCCTAAGGATTTAAATAATTGCTGGGACTGAACGTAAGTTGTAGCTCAGAATTTATAAAGTGAAGGTTATTCCTTTCCCAATCTAGGGCCGTGCATTGTCCCGAGCCAAATCTCGACGTAATTTGGATTTCCAGGATGTCTTAGACAAGTTGGCAGATATGGGAATTGCAATTCGTGTTGCCTCACCCAAACTGGTTATGGAAGAGGTAAGTGAAATTTTCATAAATATTCAGCATAAAACTGTTTTATGATTTATGCCAGTGCACAGAGGCAGCAATTTTTGTTATTGCTAACAGAAAGTATTACTACTTTTTAAAAATAACCTCAAGTACAGTTGATCATTGTCTTCTCTTTTGTTTGGAGACTAAGTCCGTGGGAGTGATTTGTACCTTTCATGTACATTAACTCTGCCTACGTATTAAACTTTAAAAATAGTTTGAGCTGGCACATTTTAATATTTCTTCTGCACAATTATACACTTAACATTTTAATTTAAAAGTAAATTTGAAAAAGCATTGGGGGAATGTTTGGGGAAACAGTTTTGCTTGATTCATAAGAGAGCAAAGATTTTGTTTAAATTATATAATTGTATGCCTCTCTATGTCTATGTATGTGTGGATACACAGAGGTACATATTTAAATTGGAAGCAACATAATTTTTTTTTTAAATTTAACAGAAAAGAAAAACAATCATCCAGAAACACACTGCCGTAAGAAAACTATTACCTCCTTTTGTAGGATACATATCACTACTGTTTTCTCTAAATGCTTTTTTTAAAACTAGTTACAATCATAGTTTTACAAACATTATATAGTCCTTTTTTGTATTTTTTAATTATTTTTTTAAATTTTTGTTTGTTTGAATTTTTGTAAAGAGTTTATTGGAGCCAAACTGATGGCATATGCTGGGGAGCAAGATCTCAAGTGCTCGCCCTGTAGTCCTTTCTTTAATCTAGCACATTATATTATTTGTGTCACTTTTTAATGATTGCCTAATAGTCTACCAGCTAAACACTGTAAGTTTTTTCCTATACTGGACAACTAAGTGGCTTCCTTTTTTTTCTTCAAGATTTTGATACTATAAGTGGTAAGGGATATCTTTATGGATCAAGCTTTCTTCCAGGCGTTTTAGTAATTAGAGTGAAATCCCAAAAGTAGATCAATGAGTCAGAATATGGCAGCCTTATTTTTTAATAACTGTCAATTTTTCCCCAATTTTAAGACCAACACATGTTTAATTAAAAGGTTTTAGAAAGTAGAAAAAACCATCTAGAATCAGAGATAACTAGTATTAACATTTGGTATATTTTTTACTTGCATGTTTTACAATATGTTTTCATTCACTCATTTAGCTAATACTTATTAAACATCTGCTATATATAGTTAGGTACTGTTTTAGGTGCTAGGAACACTGGAGTGTACACAACTAACATAGATCCCTTCCTCGTGAAACTTACCGAATAGTAAATATAGTGCATTATATGGTGATAAGTGCTACAAAGTAAAAATGGGAAGGGGGATACAGAGAGACTGGGAGTGGGTGAAGTTTGAAATAGGGTGTCTTAAGGTGCTACGTGAGTGAAGAGCTGAAGGGAGTGAGGGAATGGTCTGTGTGGGTGAGCTTTCCAGGCAGAGAGAAGAGCAGGTTGCAAGTAGAGCACAGTGAAAAAGAAGCAAGATTGTTGAGGGTGTTCCTGGGGCATTGTAGGTCCCATGGGGTTAAAGGATAACCGGGGATGGAACACGAGGGGGAGTGAGCTGGGAACCTCGGCTGTGATCACCAGCCCAGGATGCTTGTGGCAGATAATGAAGGACGTGATCATTGGTAATGACAACAAGTTCTGGGGTGTGACCCAGGGGGTGAATAGCTAAGGTAAGCATTGAAGGAGCAGAAATCAGTGAACTAAGAAGCCAAGGTACTGGAGGGATCGGATCCTCTTGCTCGATATTAAAGTCACTTAGAATTATGGTAGGAGAGAATAACAGTGAGCCAGTAGCTGGAAATGTTCACGGAACAGTGGGGCATGGTGCAGGCTCTAGCAGACAGAATAATTGTAACAAACAAAGGTAGGTGGTAATCAATGAGCACTGCAAGATTCAAAACTGCAAGTATGTAGGGAGGAAGGAGGGAGAATGGTCTGGAAAGAACCATGAAGATCAAGGACACCTGTCCCACTTCTCAGCGTGACCCAGTTTGTGAAAGAAAACAGCTACCACTGCAGAAAGTTGGAGGCAAAAGTAGCATCCTCAGGGGACATCCATATTTCAGCAAGAACAAAAAGATGAAGGGAATGTTTAAAGAAGGGAAGAGGGAGAGTATTTTGCACTTGACTCAATGGAACGAATTTCAGGGACCACAGTGGAAGAGTCCCAGAAATCGGAAGAAAATGGGAGATGGGCCAGAAAGGGGTGTGTGCAGAGCTGTACGGGGAATCCGTCTGGGAGCTCTGAGCTTCCTGTGTTGACTCGAATGGAGACAAGGAGTGTGTGTGATGAGATTCAGTCTAATGGTGACAAGACAGTGAGTGTGGGTAGAAAGAAGGGAAGGAGCAAGGGCTAGAAATCCACAGAATTTGTGTTCATATATATTTACACACATATGTACATGCACATAGTGTTAGTTATATATACGAATGTCATAATTCTCCCTTGTTGTCAAGGTAATGCACGTTAATTCTAGGAATTATAACAACCGCAGAAGTCTGTAAAGAAAAAATCAAAATTGCCAGTGCCTCCATCATCTAAAGATAATTACCACTGACAGGATGGTTTGGTGCATTCCCTTCCAGTTGGGTATCGGTGTGCATGCTTTACTTAGTTATGCCTACTGCTTCCTTAGTTAGTCAAGTGAAATATGTTCTTTGGGGACACTCTGAGTAATACAGAAAAAAATATAAAACAGGAGGAGAGTGTTTTATTTTACTACTCCCTTACCAACACTGAACTTAACCATCTTTTTAATCTTTGCATATTTAGTAGGGGAAAAAAATCTCAGTATTGTCTTAATGTGCATTTCTTCAATTACAAGTGAAGTTAAAGGAGACTTTTACAATGCTTAACTCCACCCCTGCAGGCTCCTGAGTCCTATAAGAATGTGACAGATGTGGTGAACACCTGCCATGATGCTGGGATCAGCAAGAAGGCCATTAAACTGAGACCGATTGCTGTTATCAAGGGGTAGAACCCTGGCTGTGGCCACCTGACTCCAGAGACCCTTACTGCAGTGGAAGTGGACTGAAACGCTCTTCAGACATCGAACTCAGAGGCCTGACGGGTTCCCAAGTGCGCGGCTGTCACTGCCCGATGCCTGATGGCTGACGGGGAGGCTGCTGCGTCAGGAGCCAGCGCTGTAAAATTACCTTCCGGGAGGAGTCACGTAGCCCCCGCTGGGAAAGGGGTGTACGTGCTTCCTCCTGGGTTATCCCAAGATTTTTAGAGAAATCTATTAGCAGGTGGGGATGGTTCAAGAAACTGCCTTAACCTGGTCTCACAAGTCTTTAGTCATCAGAATGAACTTCTTTCCACCAAGCTCTCTACATCCTGAGGGGTGTCATGAAGAGCATTCTATTAAATGAGGCTTTAGAATGTCTCCTTTCTGCCCTTCTTTTGTTACTTTGTCCATTCATCCACCCTACATCCCCTTCCCCTGCACTGAGCAAAACACGAAATACCATTCTTACTTGGAAAGTACCTGTAGGGTCGTGTCAGGATATTAGATGATTGGATAATGGGACACATTGAGGAGAGACTGTGTGTGGCAGTGTAGGAATGGGGACCCAAAAGGAAAAATAATTTTCCAAGACTTGCTACCTTTCTCATTCCAAATATAAGGCAGAGTTTTGACTTAACCTGCTAAATGATATGAGCTGGTATCTGTCATTAATTAGAGCTGGACTGGCAGGCTTTTCTTGAATAATAACTTGCACAACAGCAGCAGAGAACCCTCACATAATGCTGATTATCTTTACATGGGTGATCGGATTATCATAGAAACAGGAAATGACCGTATCTGTGACGTTAAGCATTGCTCTATGTTGACAGGTTGACTAGTCCTGTGCCACCTAATTAGATTTCATGTCAATGTACTGTGACACCTCGAAGATGTTAAAGTCATAGGTTACTAAGGACTCTGTTGAGTCCAAATAGCCGAATAGAAAAATGTAATAAAGTTGCAATATGTTGTTTACATTTTGTGCTTAATATTTTATAGCTTAGGACAATTAGTATTTGTACTTGAGTCACTTTGGACACTGTTGCTATTTTCTGATTTTCTCCCAGGGTGCTTTCTGAGATTCACCCTAAAAAATACTTACAATTTATCCCTCAACTTAAAATAAGATCCTCCTTTGGAATATCTTCTAGGTGCTATTTGGAAGGCTAGAGAAAAGCAGACTTCCTCTGAAAAACGTATGATACAAAGTAATATAGCATGTCTGTACTCTGAGCACTCTAACATACTTTTGGTGGTAGGCCTTGAAGTTATCAATGAATAAAAATCCATTAGGGCCCTGGCCAGGTAGCTGAGTTGGTCAGAACGTCATCCTGACATGGCATGGTGGTTTGTTCGGTCCCTGGTCAGGGCCCACATAACCAATGAGTGCATAAATAAGTGGGACAACAAATTGATGTTTCTTTCTCTCCTACTCCCTCTCCCTTTTTCTCTCTAAAAGCAATAAATAGATAATTTAAATAAATTAGGAATCTTAATAATTACAGGCTACTTACGCCTTTAGATTGGACCAGTGACTGTTGTACACAGATGACTTAGAGATACAAGTTACCAGTGAATGCTGGAGGGCATATAAGGCTGAGAAACAGGCTTCTGGCAGGTGCTAGATTCTGTCTGTGGAGAGTGGGCCACACCCCAATGTTGCCTCACCTTTAACTGGGCTTGCCTAATGACACGTCATTAGAGATTAATTCAAAGCAAGGTTTCCTCTTCTAACGAAGTGACGTCAGTGCAAGGAGTGCTGCAGATCAACTTGGGTAGATGGGTTGAGTTTTATTATATGCTTTAAAAGTTACCCTTCAGGGACGTGAGGGGAGCAGATGAAGTGGAGAAGTGAAGAGAGAGAGTCATTTATGCAATGGTGTTTCTGCTTCGTAGGCTTTCCCTTTCAAAATAGGCAGCATTTCCAGTGAAGTTGGCCCTGTTAATGACCACAGGAAGTAATGGTTAATAGTTCAAGTTCAAAAAGAAAGCTACATTGTTTTTCTTGCTCTAAACATGTTACTTTCCCATTTGAGGCAAAAAGACACTTTTAAAACAAATGTTCAGATGAAGCTGAAGTCCCCAGCTGTTTTTATTGCCTGCAGTAAAAATGCCCCATGCCTGTGCATGTGCGCATAGCTAGGAACGCCCTTTGATAAGGCCCTGTCTCCTTCAGGCACAAAGATGAGTCCTAGTATTGTGCGCCTCTTGGTCTCTCTATAGGCCTCTAAAGTCAGTTTGTCATTAATATCCTCAAAAGCACCGACATTTGTGCCCTGATGATAGGCATGCCTGTTGTCAGCATACGGTTAGGGAGACCAAGACACAAAATAAGAACACTGATTTTCTAATTGTGTAAACATTTTCTGGAGCAAGAAGGACGTGAAGGTTTAAATAAATAAAATCTTGCAGATTTTAAGACTCCTACTTTGATCTTTGTATATGACCTTTGAAAACTTCCGCACAGGATGACTAAACATGTTTTTTAGCTTTTCTTATTTTCTCTGCCTAACACTTCATTCTTTCTATATGTTCATTAATTGGGTTTTTTCCTGTTTCCAAAAATGGCTCGTCAGTACCATCGATATTGCAGAAACGTTTACAACTCACACAGCCCATTTTGTCCTTATTTCTTACGAATGTCCTTATTTTTGCACCTGCTACAATGCTTAAATATAGAGGATTTTCATGTTGTCCAAAGAGCATGATTTGTGCCCATCCTGATCTGTTGAGTATGCCAAGTCGAGCTAGATTCTGATTTTAAAAGCTCTTGTTCCCTGACCAGGTGGCTCAGTTGGTTACAGCGTCATCCCCATATGCCAAGGTTGCATGGGTTTGATCCCGGGTTGGGCACATACAAGAATCAACCAATGAACGCGTAAATAAGTGGAACAACAAATATCTCTTCCCCCGCTTTCTCCGCACCCGCCTTCCCTCTCTCCTCCCGCTTCCTCCCTTGCTCTCTCCCTCCCTCTCTCTCAAATCAATCAATAAACATTTTTTAGCCCTGGCTGTTGTGGCTCAGTGGCTTGAGTGCCAGCCTGCACACAGAAGGGTCGCTGGTTTGATTCCCAGTCAAGACACATGCCTCGGTTGCGGGCCAGGTCCCCAGAAGGGGGCATGGGAGAGGGAACCACATGTTGGTGTTTCTCCCTCTCTTTTGCCCTCCCTTTCCCCCTGTGTAAAAATAAATAAATAAAATCTTTTAAAAAAATTTTTTTTAAAGGCTCTTTCTCCAAAACCAACATCTGAAACACCAGTGATCCAAGAAGATTATAAGGAGGCCTGTTAGAGAAATGTGCAGCAGCGATTTAAGTTGTATCTTGCAGAGAAGTAGTAAAAGAACAAAGTGTCAAGCACCTGGCAATCACAGGTAACATGACCAGCAGGGGGACAAGCCATGTCTCCTGCTAAGGCAGAGTAACACAGCACCACCCCTGAGTGGCCCGAGTCTGGCCGAGAGCACACATCAGAGGGACCCCAGATGAGGGTCCTCCCACACAATGAAGGCCTGTACACTCAGGACTGTCAAGGAAATGAAAACCAGGGGAAGGCTGACAAACTACCGGATTGTAAAAGACAACAACTAGATATTCTGGATAGGATCCTGGACCAAAGGGGAATAGCTGGCGTCGTTAGGCCATGTGGTGAAATTTGAATAGAACCTATAAATGGGTCAGCAGTGATGTGCCAAGTTTGATCTGTTGGGGGTTATGCAGGGTAGTGTCTTTGTGTGATATTGTGACTATATAATAAGAAATACATATTTGGTCTCCATTCTGTTTCTGGCACAAAGTCCTTAAACCCTTGGAATTTCCTAAATGGTGAGAGGAACAAAGGTGTCTTGTTATTTACAACAAGTCCCTTTCAACTACCCCAGAGTTTATGTTAATGAGATGATTTTTGGAAAGCCCCTAAGGATGGGGGCCGGTTGCCAGGAGAACCAACCAGGTGATTAGAGCGTTGGAACTTTCTGCCCCACCCCTGACCTCCAGGGAGGGGAAGGCTGGAGATTGATTTCAATCACCAATGACTAATGATTTAATCAATTGTGCCTATACCATGAAGCCTCCATAAAAACAAAAGGACGAGATTCAGAGAGCTTCCAGGTTGATGAACCAGAACACACCTCTGTGCCCATATGGTGACACACCCCAAACTTAGGGCACAGATGCTCCTGTGGGACCCTTCCAGACCTACCCCTGTGTATCTCTTCATGTGGCTGTGCATTCATATACATTAATGTCCTTTGGAATAAATCAGTAATCTGGTAAGTAAACTGGTTCCTCGAGTACCAATGAGCCACTCTAGCAAATTGATCAAACTCAAGGAAGGGGTTATGGGAACTTTTAATTTAGAGTCACTCAGTCAAAATCACAGTTGACAACTTAGAGTCAGATTCGTGTCTGAAGTCTCGTGGGACTCAGCCCCTAACCTTTGGCATCTGAGGCAATCTCCAGATCAGTGGTGTCAGAACTGAGTTAAATTGGACACCCAGCCATTGTCCACTAAAAATTTGAGAATTGTTAGGTGGTGGTCGAAAAAACACACAGCAGACCTTGTTTGGAAGAAGTGAGTGTTTAAGGGTGGTGGGACATCATGTTTAAAGATTCAGAAAATGACCATTGATAATTAGTGCTTAATTATTCAGAGTGGGCAAATGAAGTAAAATATAAATAATTGGGGAATGTGGGTGAATGGGGGTAAGGGAGTTCTCTGTCCTGTTCTAGCAACTTTAAGTTCGAAACAATTTTTAAAATGGATTTATAATAGATAACTTTAAAAAGAATGATAATCTCACACACAAAGTACATGTGGTAGGTCTCTTGCCAACAGGCCACAACAATTTCCCCTATCCTGGATACCTCTTTGCAATGTGGTTTTGCAATCTCCACCATCAAGAGGTGGACTCTTCCTTCTCTTGGTCTGCGCTGGCCTTGTGACTTTCTTTGACCAAAGGATGCAGATGCTGTGTGACTCTGGAGCCTTTGACCTACCTCCAAAGGCCTGGCAGCCTCCATTTTTGCCCTCTTGCTGCTCTAAGATCATCACCTAAAGAAGCCCAAGGATATTCCAGACCAGATAATGGTATAGGCAGACATGGCTCGCCTCTTCACGCAACCACATCAAAATTGCTACTAACATATAGAACAACCATCACTCAGAACCATCAGAAATCGAGTTGAATGGAAGTCTGACAACTATGGCATCAAAGAAACCACATCCATCCACACTAGTAGGAGGGTCACAGGTGCGTTTCAGGCTCATTCCACACCCATGTGTGGCAGATAAAAATTCCGGAGGGCTATCTCAGGAGTGAGGAGTCCCAGCCCCACACCAGGACCCCTAGCCCAGAGTTCCAGTGCCAGAAAGATAAGTCCCCTTAGAAAGATAAAATAAGACAACTTCTGGCTACAAAAACCAGCAGGGATTGAGTTGGTGGAAGAAACTTCTGGAGCCCCAAGCCACTCCTCTTAAAGAATGCACACATGGACTCACCTACTGAGACACTCCCTCTGAGCTCCAGCACTGGGGTAGCAGCTTAAAAGGCACCAGTGATACACAGGGAGAAACTGAAGTGTCTGGCATCAAGGTGAGCAGAGGCCATTGTCCATTTTCTAAACCCTCTTTGCCCCAGAGCCAGCAAGCTGGTGCCGTATCTGACACTACATCAACCTGGCTAACCCTGTTTGACCCGCCTTGGAGATCCCCAGCAACTTCGCCCCAACCAACTTATGGTCCCACTCAAGCTGGTTTTCCATATGAATGGCTGGTCTTGGCTTGTGCTTCACAACTTCCTAAATCCTATCAAACAAGAAACACCTGGCCCCAGTGAGCCCCAGGGCTGGTACTAGCAGCAGCCAGCCTAGATTCACAGCGTGGCTTCACCTGGCAATCTTCCAGCCCAGCACAAGGAGCAGCCATCTCAGATTGCCTTAGAGCTCAGGAAGGGCAGCCCCAGGTAAAACACAGGTTGGGGCTGACCTTGGCCTGCACCATCTGGTAAACCCCAGGGCCAGCACACCCCGTAGACAGCTACAGACCACATTGGAGCACCATCACCCTGTCCCTGCACAGATGATCCTCCATAGAGGGTGGAGTGGAGTTTGCTGGTCAATGGCCACAGCCAGTCCTTGCAGCTGACTGGCTTGGATAAATCCCTCCCATTGACCTTCCAACAGCAATCAAGGCTCAACTACAAGAGGAGGGTGTACTTAGCCCACACAAAGGTTGCACTTTGAGTACCCAGCTTAGGTGAGAGGGGAGGCTGTGCCACTGGACCCTACAGGAAACCTACTACATTAAGCCACACTATCAAGACATGTAGTCAAAGCAGGTATATCTAATACATAGAAACAAACACAGATAGGCTACCAAAACGAGAAGACAAAGAAACATGGCCCAAATGAAACGGCAAAACAAAACTCCAGACAAAGATCTAAATGAAATGGAGATAAGAAATCTATCATGTGCAAAGTTCAAAACACTGGTTATACAGATGCCCAAAGAACTTAGTGAAGACCTCAACAGCATAAAACGTATCCAGTCAGAAACGAAAGACACATTAATTGAAATAAAGAACAATTTACAGGGAAACAACAGTAAAGTGGATGAAGCCAAGAATCAAGTCAATGATTTGGAACATAAGGAAGCAAAAAACAACTAATCAGAACAACAAGAAGAAAAAAAATCCAAAGAAATGAGGAAAGTATAAGCAGCCTTGGTCCAGCATTAAGAGGTCCAACATTCACATCATAGGGGTGCCAAAAGGAAAAGAGAAAGAGCAAGAAATTGGAAATCTATTTGAAAAAATAGTGAAAGAAAATTCCCTTATGTGGTGAAGGAAACAGACATGCAAGTCCAGGAAGCACAGAGTCCCAGACAAGATGGATACAAAGATGCCCACTCCAAGACACATAATTAAAATGCCAAAGGTTAAAGATAAAGAGAGAATCTTAAAAACAGCAAGAGAAAAGAAGTTAGTTACCTACATGGGAGTTCCCATAAGACTATCAGCTGATTTCTCAAAAGAAACTTTGCAGGCTAGAAGGAGTTGGCAAGAAATACTCAAAGTCATGAAAAGCAGGGACCTACAGCCAAGCTTGTTATACCCAGCAAAGCAATCATTTAGAATCAAAGGGCAGATAAAGGACTTCCCAGAGAAGAAAAAAAGCTAAAGGAGTTCATCATCACCAAACCATTATTATAAGAAACGCTAAAGGGACCTATTTAAGAAAAAGAAGATTGAAACTATGAACAATAAAATGGCAAAAAAAAATGCATATCTATCAACAATTTAATCTAAATAACAAACTAAGCAAACAAGAAGAACAAAGAATCATGGATATGGAGAATGTTTAGATGGTTGCCAGATGGGAGGGGGGTGAGGGGAATGGGTGAAGAGGTGAGGGGATTAAGAAGTACAAGTAAGTAGTTCAGAACAGCCATGGGGATGTAAATAAAGTACAGTATAGAAAATGGAGTAGCCAAAGAACTTATATCCATGTCCCATGGAAATGAACAATGGTGGGGGGATTGCCTGAGGGAGTGGGGGATGCTGGATGGAGGAGGGGCAAAGGGGAAAAAATCAAGACAACTGTAATCGTGTAATCAGTAAAATAAAATTTTTTAAAAGAGAAACTCAGACCACCTTAAGCATGAAAGACCACATGGAAGGAGACCATCTTAAACCATCCAGCAGTTCTAATTATTTCTCAATTGTGAGAAATAATAAATCATAGTCGTTATAAGTTTTGGAGTGGGTCGTTACACAAATTAGAAAAACCTGGCATATTTCTATTTCCATCATTATACTTAAGAAGTTAATCAACATCAACTAGCCATGAAGAGAATTTTTCCTCAGACTAAACAGGGCAGTTGTAGTCCTCTGCAAAGCTCTTCCTATCTTCTACCAGAGAACTGCTTTGCACATGGATTAAGAGTGAAAGAGCACTTTCTAGTTTATGAGACCTTGCACTCATGTAGCCTCCCTTCACTTTTACCACAGCCTGTGAGATGAAATAGGTGTTACTATCCTTAACTGTAGGGGTGAAAAAATGGGTTCAGAGCAGTCATGTCACTTGTCCAAGGAAACACATCCAATAGGCACTGAAATCGGGACCAGAGTCCAGGTCCTTCCTGCTCCGTCCAAGTGCAGCTGAGGTCATGG